CTTCAGATAATTTTGACATTTACAAATGCTCTTTTGAATTGTTTTTAGTCTCAGTTGCAATCTTATTTTGTATATTTTATCAAATAGGTCTTATCACTTTAATTATAAATCAAGAACGCTTTGGTTAAGAGGTTAAGGTTGAGGAATGAAAATTCAAAAATTAAAGATCTTAGGTTCAAATCTGCCTACCCTCTCCCCAAATATTAAATCCTACCTATAACAAGTTAAAATAAATAAAAAATAATTTAGTTATAAACAATAATTTTGATTTTAAGTTTAAAAATATCATAAGATACATTTTTATAGGTATTCAAGCAATATATATGTATGACATCATCCGATTCTTCAATTCCAAACCCGTTAAGCCCATTGAGTCTCAATTCTTGAGTTCCGTCGTGTCATTGACTAATCTAAGTTTCAAAACACAGATTATTAGTAATTCATTGCCCAAGATATTATCTATTAATCAATATTTGCATGCTTTTCAATTATGAGAAAGGGAGCTTTACAACAAGAAAGAAAGCGTGTAATTCGGAAGAGAACAAAATATTGAAAAAAAATGTAGAAACAAACAATATTCCCTGAACAATGGTATTTAGTATTGATTGCAAAATACTTCTTAAAACTTTTTTGGGGTTGGCAAAATGCCCTTGGTTTATCAATTTCAGCACTATACGCCATAGATTCTACTATTAGCGCTGAAAAACTAATAATTTTTCATGATGTATGTGTGAACTCACTAATAGGGGATTTTGACACCCTTGATGGAGTGTGTACGAGAAAAAAGAAAAAAAAATCCTCAATATGTATACACATATCAATTGAAAAGAAGGGCTTGTTTGGCAAGCAAGTTTTTTGCCAAAATTTTCTTCTACAAAATTTTTTAACAACTTTAACTATAATAAGATCAAAAATTTTCTCAAATTTTTTTAAAATACACACCTTAAAATACCCAAAAACACACAAAAAATTTTCCTTCTTTTTTCTTCTTCTTCCTCACCCCACCACAATATAGCACCTCCATCGCCGGCTAGTGCTGGTCAACGAGTCATTTTTTCTTTTTTTCTCTCTCCTCCTTCTCCTCCCTCCCACTCCTCTCTCCCTTCACCTCCTCCCTCTCTCCCTCTCCTCTTCCCTTCTCCTCCTACTCTCCCCCCTCCCTTCCCCTTCCCCTTCTCCCCTCGCGACTAGATGTGTGACCAGATTAGGGGAGAGGAAGGGTGAGGGGGAGAAGAAGGAGAGGGAGAGAGGGAGGAGGGGAAGGGAGGGAGAGAGAGGTGAGGATTAACTCAAGTATAAACATTCCATCTAAATTGGCAGAATCAATAACTTTATTATTTTTCAAAAGATTCATGGTTGAAAGATGAGAATTGAAATCATATCCAATAATAAATAATCTAGAAAAGAAATAAAATTTCTAGAAAAGTATGGAACATAAAAGGTATTTTCAATATCTAATTGAAAATCAATTTTTAAAATAAGTCTATAGATCCCCACGCCTTCAACAGTTGAGCACATCCAGTTTTCAGAATAGATGCTTTGTTCACTTTCTAACAACTTCCTTAGGTTCAGAAAGCCCTACTTGGTATTGAACATGTGAATTTTGGCAATCAATCCACCAAGTATTATAAAAAATTTAGCGAAGTTAGATTCATAACACACAAAGGTGAGATTAGCTTTATTTTCAAGTCACTTCTTGTATTTGAGGCAATTTTTCTTCCAGTGCCCTTTCTTCTTGCAAAAATAGCATTTGTCTTTATTGCCATCTCATTTTATAGGAACACTCTTCCTTTCTTTGCTTTTCCTTTACCGTGAGTCACAAGATGAACACTTGTCTCATGTTTCAATCTCTCCTCCACTTGAACACACATGGTCAAGAATTCATTAATTGACCGTTTTTCTTTATGTTGTGTTATAAGAGATCTTAAACGAAGCATATTCCAATGTGAAAGAGTTGAGAATGAAATGCACAAGGAATAACTCAAAAATCTCAACTTTAAGGGACTTCAGTTTAGCAATAATGTCTCGCATTTCCATAATGTGCTTGCAAACACTCTTGCTTTTATCAAGTGTCATGGTTGCAAATTTCTTTATAAGGGTGCTAGCCAAGACCTTGTCAAAACTTACAAATTGTTCATCAATTGCCTTCATATAAGTTTTGACTCGACCACAATCAGTGATTGAACCCTTAATGCTTTGATTGATATGCTTTGGCTCTCACCACTCATAAGTAACTTTTTCATTTGACGAACTAGGATTCATGGGAATGGGTGGTTCATTCTCATGAAACGCCAAATCAAGATCTATGCACCCCAAAGTTAGAAGAATCTTGTCCTTCCATTCGGTGTAGTTTTTATCGAATAGCATTGGAATATGAGATGAATCATTAAAAACAGTAGTAGTAAAAAAATTGCAATATCCAAGAATAAACATATATTGTTGCTATGAATTTAAGACATAAAGGTTGAATTAACCAATGTTAACTCAAATAATAAATTCAAATCTTCGCGTGGTAGAGGCTACCAGACATGTATTGAATTTACTTTCTTTATAATAAAACTAGTAAATTAAAACTACAAAAATAAAAATTTTTCATACCCGTGAGTCCAGGAAAATATCTTAACAAAATGTTAAATTTACTATCTTATTTCAATTAATCTTATTAAAACTACCACTTTCTTGTGGACAAAGTGATAAATTTTAACAAATTAATTATTTACTTAATTAGATGTTATTCATTTAATCGCTTAACATTTATGTGATTAAAATTCTAAATATCAAGTATGTAAGATGTTGTCGCCACTTTTAAGTACAAGATGCAAAGATCTTTGTGATAATATCTAAATAATTTATAATTGACAAAAATTAAAAGTTGAAAGATGTTGCAATTTATATTTTTAAATAATTAGCCAAAAGTGCAGCAAATAAACAAACTACTGATGACAATTATTAATCACAATTTCAAGAGGCATGGAGTTGCTTAAATAGAACTCATATAAACATAAAGTGCCCCAAAAGCAAAGTTCCGCCTTTATGATATTTTAGTATATATGATGCAAAGCCAAAAAGCATAAGTATATTAATCATAATTCATACAAGACATAAATATTTATGTTGTCATATACAAGTATGAGCATGCGAATGTTACATAATGATTTTGTTGATCAAATGTCATACTAACTATACGTGTATGCACTCAATCATATAAATTAATCATACCAAGTTGTCTTGATGAATACTCATTTCAACCAAAAAGTGAGATGTAAATAACTACATATTGGATGGCCAAAGTCCAATTATATGTTTCTGAGATTGTTAAAGTACATTGATAACAATAATCATGATGTGTATCGATACATATAACAGCCACAACTAAGAATATGTGAGTCCAAGAAATATTCAAATCATTAGCAAGTCATACTGGATTAAACAAACCCGAATAAATTGCATGGCCAAATAAATCATCACAAGAATGATACATATACATGGGATTAGTCATTAATTCTCAATCATTGAAATAATAGAAACATAGATCTCATGCCAAATTAGATTTGATTTATCTAATATTCTATGAATCTATGCAACTTTTATCAGATTGCCAATAAACCATAAAATTATATGTTAAACAACATATAGCTGGAGGGTGACCCTGATACCACATCCACATGTTAAACAAATAAGTATAAACAACTTGTACTAAATAGTGAAAATTTAAATAATTTATCTCCAGCCATTGTTGTCAAGTAGAACTTAAATCCATATCGCTCCTGACCTTCTTACTTTCTTCTTCTCTATACTAACAAAGAAAATTTGTAGAAGAAGAGATAAGCAAAAGAGAAATTTAGAATAAGAATCTTCTAATCTATGCCTAACCAGAGAGTGTAGTGCTAATAGAGTACCAAAGAGACTATTTATAGGCTAAACTAAGGACCCTTACTACCAAAATCTCTATGGTTTCCTTCCGTCGAGAAAATCTTGTCATAATTCATAACTCAAAATAACAGTTTCTAACTAATTGATCGATTTGATTGCTTAAATGATTGAATAAGATATCAATTAGTAGAAAATATCAATCAACCATTATTAAATAGGAGATACTAATTTATTATTGACACAATGTTAATTAATTAATCAGAATATCAACCACTTTAAAATCAATCATGTGGATCATAATTACTTCTACAAGAGGCTAATCTTACAAAAAGAATTTCTTTTTTTACTTAAACAAAAGTTATGCTAGGGACTAATGAGAAACCAAGTTTTGTATGTAACTTATTTTAAAAAAAAAAAAAAATTCTTCAATTTTCAAGAAGAGAAAATAGCAAAAATAGTCACAACACTGTTTGAAATTTTCTGTTTTGGTTATTAAATATTTTTATATGGCCAGAGTGATCATTTTAGTAGTAAAACAATGTATTTTTTTTTGGTCAAATAAAAAGTTTAGGGACTGAAATAGAGAATAAATAGTTAGTAACAATTTCTGGTGTTCAATAAATGAAAAACCATCTTTTGTTCTACTATTCGAAAAAATTTTAAAAAAAATAATAAAGCCAAAATTCGTCTGGCTTCAAATTCGTTTGGGATTTATTGAGCTCCAAATTCGTGTGGGATAGATCGATTCATCGTAATTGTCTGCCTATTTGACACCTCCAATGTCATGATCTTCTTTTTTAGTAATCTCTTTTGTAGATGTCAATAACCTTTCTTGGGTCGACATATTTAAAATCAAATAAAGTTACACTAATGGAATGAGACAGTTTTCATACGATGAAAACAAACCAAGGAAATGCCATATGATTGTGAATGTGACGAGAACAAGAAGAAAGAAGGACGATAAATTCGACATTTCTTCTTCAGAGCTACCTATAAAACACAAACGTTAATTGCATTGGTGAAAACAAAATCAGGATTCTAATTTTACGCCTAAAGGATGAAAGGTGCATTAGTGTTACCTCTTCTCATTCTTGTATGCTTAGTGGCATCTGTGCAATGTTTTGCAGGAAAAAAGCATGACCCTCTTTTGAAGCACCTCAAGGCTCGAAGAAGCTCGAAAAGATCAGTGAATTATGTGACTGAGGAATTGGGAGATGAGTATTCGCCAGTTTATGTTGGCCCTCAAGAAGGGTTGAAGGAAGCTGACAGGATCACAACATTGCCAGGACAGCCAAATGCAGTAAATTTTGATCAGTATTCAGGGTATGTCACAGTTGATCCTAAAGCTGGTCGAGCTCTCTTTTACTATTTTGCCGAATCCCAAAACTCTTCGGCCAAGCCTCTGGTTTTGTGGCTAAATGGAGGTAGGTATTTCTATTTGAAATTTTGTGATCAGCATTCTGTAGAGAGGCTATTGTTCGAAGAATAGTAGTTAAGGTGACAAACGTCTGTAACCTTTCAAAGTTGCACACGAATATAACACTCTCTTCAATGTTATATCATTTTGGATTTTAAATAATTGAGAAAGTATCTACAAATCTAGGATTAGAAATACCTAAAAGATAGGAATAAAGAGATAGGATAATGACAGAGATTTAAGAAAAAAAAAATAGTGATTGAGAGTAGTCTGTCATCTTCGTGTTTTCCTTGTTTGAAAGAACGTTTTTATGCATGCTTGAACCGAAAACAGGACCTGGATGCTCCTCAATTGGAGCTGGAGCAATGACTGAATTGGGACCTTTCCGAGTTAATAAGGATGGGAGCACCCTCTGGCTTAATCCATATGCCTGGAACACTGGTAAAAATCTGATCAATTAATTGCAGAGTAATCGTCATCAAAATTTTGAGAAATTCACAATTAACTCCACCAGTTTTGTGTCCTTCAATGTAGTGGCAAACGTACTCTTCTTGGAATCTCCAGCTGGTGTTGGATTTTCTTACTCCAATACATCCTCAGATTACATTACCGGAGATACAAAAACTGCAGCAGATTCCTATACATTTCTAGTCAACTGGCTAGAAAGGTTCCCTGAGTACAAAACCAGAGACTTCTTGATAACCGGAGAAAGCTACGCTGGTCATTACGTGCCTCAGCTTGCTCAACTCATTCTCCATAACAATAAGATAACGAACCAAACTGTCATTAACTTGAAAGGAATTGCTGTAAGTTTTTTCTTTTTTGAACTTTCAACAGTTTGACGGGCTTCTTTTCACACCGAATGGTGGTTAAATATCGTCCATGATTTTCAGATTGGGAATCCATACGTTGATATTGAAACACAAGGCAGTGGGACTTATGATTATTACTGGACCCATGCTCTGATATCTGATGAAATTCATCAGGGTATATTTTCCAATTGCAATTTTTCTTCAGGAAATACATCAGATGCTTGTCAGACATACGAAGACCAAGCAGATTCAGCTATAGGCAATATTGATGATTACAATATCTATGCTCCCTTGTGTTCTTCTTCTTCAAATACTCCTACTACGGTAAGATTTCGTTATCGATTGTAAAATCCATTGACTTGGTTTTCCATATCCCTGATGGACAAATCAACTCTGACATGGTTTTCTTACCCCTTTGATTAAGTAGATATCAGAGTTTGATCCTTGCTCGGATCATTATGTATACACTTATCTAAATACTCCTCAAGTGCAAAAGTCACTTCATGCTAACACCACTGTCATCCCAGGACCATGGGATTCCTGCAAGTAAGCATTGCATTATTCAAAATCTGATAGACGCATAATTTTTACATTACACTTCCTATGTGATTTAACTAATTGTCTTCTTGTAATCTGCATGTTCAAACAGTGACTACATACACCTTAATTGGGATGATGAACCAGATACAGTTTTACCTACCATCAAGGAATTGACTGAGAGTGGCATTAGCGTTTGGATCTATAGGTACTAATGTCACAAGTTTGTGCAAAAGCAAAATTATGAAAGAGTATGAATTTTTTATGCATCTGCCTTGTGTTAGTGATTTGTGAATTGAGGCTTAGAACTTTTTGAATTGCAGTGGAGACACAGATAGTGTATGTTCTGTAACAACAACTAAGTATGCCTTAAACAAACTCGGATTATCGGTGAAAAATCCTTGGTATGCTTGGTACACCCAAGGCGAGGTAAGAAAAAATCAAGATTTAAGACCATACTTAAGATTTGTTTAATTAGATCAATTCCAGCTGAAAACCAGATTGCATTTAGATAATCATGAATGGTTTTAACTTCATTTCTGTCCTCTCAGGTTGGTGGTTATGCAGTGGAATATGAAAACCTGACCTTTGTGACAGTGAGGGGAGCTGGACATTTTGTTCCTAGCTATCAGCCTTCTCGTGCACTCACTTTATTCTCATCCTTCTTGGCCGGAAAGCTTCCACCTTCCAACTAGAACTATACCAGAATCTGGTGTATGAATTGGCAAAGCTTCTGCTTCCACCCCAAAATTTTTCATGTTACACCGATCAGTTGTGTCTTTTTTGTTCAATCCGGATTTGTTAATCCTCGATTATCATTTCCATCTGTAACTGTTGAAGTCAATAATCATTATGATGGAAAAGTTTGCTTCTTGACCTAATAAGTATGTTGAGAAAGGTTTTATGCTATGTTTTAACCATCGAATCTTTGTTTGATACAATTTATTTTTTATTTTTTACGTTTCTTCTACAATTATTGAAGCTAATGATCAATGTCACCAAGAAATTTTCTTTCAAATTTTATTCTCACCCTGCATGACTATGTTAAGAAAATTTATTTGATGAATCTAATTGCCTTTTAGCATTTACTTCAAATGGTATGTTCATCCAAGAAGGCATACTATTCCTGTAAACAACGTAAGTTAACTACTTCCAAAGAAAAACTCAAGAAATTACTCGTAATTTCTAAAAAGCAAACAAGTTTATCGATTTTTACTCAAAATTAGGAATCAAAGAAACAAGGGAAATCATCAAGCTATCGCGCTTTCCACAGTTTAGCTCGGCAATGAGAATGCCAAAGAGAAAAGACTAGTGCCTCAAAGATGCAAGGTTCTTCATTAACATATCCTCCACTAGCTGCATATACCTGGAGTTTCATGCACTCTAGCAACATCAAGTTTCCAAGTTTTTCAAAGCACTGCCTTTCAAATTAAGCCAAGCTCTATTAAGTTGTCTTGTGGCTGTTAATTGGTTAAGGCATCGCCCTTTTTCTCTTGGCTTTTCTCTTGGTGATAGAACTGATGAAAACAGACACAAGATCCAAAACACAGTTAGATGCTTAGTACAATTTCTAAACTTATGAATTGGTGGAACTTGGAAACCAAAATTGATCCAAAACGGACTATTAATTGGATTTCTACAAGAACTATTGATGAATATGCTCATGGTGTTAATGATTGGACTCCGATGGAATACAAGGTGTGACAGCAACATGGAATTTAAAGCATTTAACTCGTAATTATTATATTCATAGAGATACGACAAATTTAACAAATAATATTTAGGGTTAAATGCGGTATACCCCTATAGCTTCTTTTGGTTAAAATACTTGGCTTATGCAGTGTGTAGGAGCATAGAGGACTTTCCAATCATCAATTGTTTAATGTTATCCATCAAACATGAGGATGAATATGGGCAATGCAACCAAGAAGACAACATATATTCGAGAAAATAATATGACACCTTTTATGTAATATCAATAATTACAATTAGACATTTTTTATTTGTTCATTGCATTTTAGTATGTAATACAATTTAAAAATTCAAAATCCATGAATGCCTCTTTTATTTGTTCATTTGCATTTTAGTAAAGACTTTCGTTTTTCAGTAATGAATTTTCATTGTGGCATGGGGTTTATCTATGATTCTTTTTACATCTTTTTGTGGCAACAGAATGTGGCCACCTTGATGCATTATCCTATTCGAACAGCTTCAAGTCAAACGATAAAGATCCTTCTTTTGTATAACATGGACATAAACCTCCAGGACAATGTATGGCTAATGTTCCCTACTTATGGCTCTTGCTATGTTTTATTCAGTTTTTATAAATTTGGATTGATATTGCTATCTTTCCTTTCAGGATTCAGTCTCGCAGAACAGATGTGGTGACTGGTGAGGCTGTTATTGATCAGGGGAGCTGACAAGACCTTAAGCAACAAGGCATGACCAAGTTGTTAGAATCTTGAAGGTACACTTTTATCTGTTTTGTTATGTTTTCTGGTCCAACTTGATTGGTTTTTTTTTTATGTGGATTTTCATAGACGTATCATCCACCTGAATGGTGATCTTTATTTAGGTCTAATTGATGAGACAATGCTTATTTCTTTCTTAATGATTGTGCTGGTTTTGTCCCCCACTGACCAATTGACGTACATAAACAATTTGCAGTTGTATGAATAAATAAAGTGACACATGCTCTCACTGACCTGACCAGAATGTTGCCACTAGATTGATAACCATCCCATTCGCTCCAGCCCCTTTTAGGTGTTCTTGGAACAATTTTACCTTATCATCTGTAAGAGGTCTACTTTAATGACATGGAAATCATGAATGTCATTGACCTGAAGGGTTGTTTTTCCTTTACAGGACTTGGTTATTGTTTGTGTGTGAATTATGTAAGTTGCTTATGTCTTTTGTATGAGGCAAAATTTTACTAATTTACCATTGCAGGATGGTTTAACTCTTCTTGACCTTTGCCTGTATTATGGACTAGAAATGAGTTCTCAATCTATCAGCTTCCCCACGATTTCGAGCTTCAAAGTTAAGGTTCCATTTTGGATTGCATTTTTCTTCAAAACTTGTTAGTGTAGAGCACATTGATGGAAGGGGTATGAGTGCTAAAATGATTATTGGAATGTACGTTACAAGAATTTTTTGCGAAAATTTTTCCACAAGTTCTTGCACGTAGGATTTCTTTTGTGCATTTATCCCACAGCTGCTCCAATTGGGATGAAGACATCAGTTGGATTCATTCGGTAATTATTATGTTGTAAATCTATAAAAACCAACACTTTTGCCTTGAAATTTCATCCATTCTTTCATTTTTCAAATCTCATGCCTTTCTTTAGTAATAGACAGGGGGTGGGGAGGCGGATTCGGCGAGCACTTTTGGACAATTCACACTTTACTGTGGGTATGCCGTACTATAAACATCATTTTACTTGAAAGAGGCCACATGAGCAAGCTCAAATATACTTCGATGATCCTTTCTCTGCAGCTCTATGCCTTTTTGTGGGAGTCCTCTAAGACCTGTACAAGTGAAACACCTTTTAGTTTAAGATGGTCTTCGCGAATTTAGAGATAGAGAGAGAGAGAGAGAGAGAGAGAGAGAGAGAGAGAGAGAGAGAGAGAGAGAGAGAGAGTGTGTGTGTGTGTGTGTGTGTGTGTGTGTGTGTATGTATGTGTGTGTAAAACAAGTTTAGTCCTACTCTGGCAGCCATTTCTTTGCAAGTCTACGCTTTTTTGTGGGCAACTCATCCTCGCAAGACCTGTACAAGTGAACAACCAGTTGGCTTAATGTAGGCTTCGTGAATTTGAAGAGAGAGAGAGAGAGAATGTGTGTGTGTGTATTTTTGTATTTATAACAAATAAGAATTTGAGAAGGAAACAACAAAGTTATGCTTGAAAACAGGTAACAAAACTATATATTAACATACTTTGGACTTAGCATATGAAATGTAAGACCTATTACAGGAATATATACAGATATGTATAACAAAGAAGAATTTGAAAGGGAAACATCAAAGTTTGAGAACAGGTAACAAAAATGTATCCCAGCATACTTGGACTTAGCACATGAAATGTAAGACCTGCTACGGAAATATATAGATAAGTAAATGATTTGTGCTAGCATCAACTGATGTCATTGGTAGTCCAACTCAAATCACAAAATTTCAGCTAGAATTGATCAGAGATTGGAAAGGAGGACTAGGCAAACATGTACATCGAAGAGAGAGGACAGATATGCTTGCAACTAGTTGCAGTGATTTGGCGGTAAAAATAGGTTACTAAGTATATCAGCAGCAGTTAGAATTTCTGGTTCCAGTGCAGCTCAATCTTCCAAGTCTTTCTTTCATGAAGGAAATTTCCGATTTTTGAAGAGTTCATCAGCCCAAAATGAAACTTTTCCTAGTCCAATGTTATTGACTAACCAGGAAATGTTCACTCTACAAATAAATGAGGGAGGATCCTCAATTACCTTAACTCAGAACTCATGGAACAAACAAAAGAAATAAAATACATAATAAGTAAGGGTTCTTCAGCAAGTAATCACATCATCCACGAACTGCAATTCAGGAAGCAAATAAGAGCCAAAGCAAGGAAAACATTCTAAGATGGTTCCAAGCATCGTGCTGAGAAGTGTTAACAGGGACTGATCTTATCCAACTAGGTAATGCATTATATTTTATTCCTTAATTGAAAGCCAGTGTCAATTCAAAACCAGTAAAAGGTAACGGAAAAATTAATCCATTCAAGCATGGGAAGTATTGAGTCTACCTAAACTAAAGAAAACTATATTTGTCAATAATGATAACACAAAGAAGTCATAAAGGTTTAACCAGCTTAGAGTAATATGATGTTTAACAGAAGCCTGCTTCAATAGCAAACATGATCATCATTTACTTAGCAAGTGAGACCAAAAATTTTAGCATGATGATTTCTTTTTGCCAATTTGCTAATGTTTGTATGAATACATCATAAAACCCACAGGTCTCATTTGACGATAGAATAAAAGTCACCACTGGATTTTCTCACATCCAATAGCTGTTTTGCAGATAAACTTTTACTGAAACAAGTTGTTCATAATTTTTTGTTAGCTGCACCCAAAGAAACATGTCCAATTGCATAATTGTTCAGAAGTGGGGTAAACTCACAGAAGCTACAGGCATATGATTAAAAAACAAGCAGAAACACTATTCAGCTTGCCCTTACTTTTCTGCTGCTCTGCTACTCCTATCTTTTTCCTGAGTTGGTACTTCACTTTTTTTAGGGCAAATGTATTCCTCCAATTCTTCTATGCTCATTGAGGAGAAACTGTCACTGACATGAAGCCTGGATAAATTGCATTCATCTAAAAGCTTTGAACCTTCTGCAGGGTCAGAGCTGGCTGATAAATCCTCAAGTTGTTCTTTAAGATGCTCCATCATTGTAAAACCTACACAATTGCTCTTGTCCAATCATCATTTAACTTAATAAAAATAAAAGTCATCAAATCTGTATTCAGGTTAAACAAAGAAATGAACCCAGGTGTCATTGACTTAACATTTGGGGACGTGGACCCTTATACTCAAATGTGAGGCTTTAAAAACATGCAGGAAAGCAAGCTTTCAGGTCATGCACATTGAAGTAACAAACAAACACGTATCTAACAACATAATTAAGGATTATGTAGTATAATGTTACAGTATGAAGCAAATAGAGTCAATACATACCATGGCATAAAATTACAAGAAAACAGCTCTATACTTTTACAAACTAAGTATTTCTTAAATTTGGGGGAAAAATGCCATCTAGGAGTTTGATACTGACTTGTGATATACTGATTCGAAGAAGATAAAGTATGTACTCCCTATATTGACTGATTTCATGCTTTTATTAACAAAAGTAATTACTCAATTTAAAGTTCTCAAGTAACCTAATTTCTTGTGCTACCAAAAAGTGTTGCATTTAAGCAGTACTAAGGGCATAGAAGACTTTCCAAACTTCAATTTCTTAAGATTATCCAACAGTCTAAAAGGATGGTTATGGCCAATGCAACCAAATAGACAACTTACATTCAAGTCAATACTACAGATATCCTTTAGAACAACTACTAACGTACATGGTACAAGTTCAACCTTGCATTTACAGGTAAATTATGTTAGTTATGACCAAGAACTGAAGGAAAACTGTATCGATGATGATGAAAGAAAGTCAATCCTCAATTCTCTAAGGTTATCCAACAGTCTATGAGGATAATTATGGGAAATGCAACCATACACAACATAAATTCAAGACAACAACATCCATATGCTTTAGAAAGACTATAATGCACTGGTTACAACTTCAACCTTGCATTTACAAGTAAATTATATTAGTTACGATTAAAAGAATGAAGATAAACTTTAGGAATGATGTTTGAAAGCAGGTGCATGGACCTACTTAATACATATAGGCTCTTTTACAAGGTTTAAATATAATACAAAAGAAATCATGCTCATGTCATAAATCTAAAGAAGTGTAAAGGTAACAAAAGCAGATGAATATTTCAAGGAAATGACAAGCAAGACATACTAAGGTGTCGGAGCTTTTTCAAGTCAAACTCCTTGGCCAAAGATGGATGGCCAATTACTTTTGCTCGCCGCATAGCCAGCATTTTTAAGGCAATCAACATATCCTACCAAACGAAAATCTGTCGTTACAAATAATGAACATTGAACCATAAAGAAAAGGATTGCAATGGTGCTGATTCAATTAGTTAGTGTACAGGGGGAAAGAAGAACTTACAAGTTCTGATTCAGATAAAGAACAAAGCCAACGGACATCTTCAATGTCATTATTCCCCAGCATATCACTAGTGCAAGTATCAACCTCTTTTCTTTTCCCCATAGAAAAAAGACAGTGATGTAGCAAAACTCAAGTATCTGCCAAGGTTTTGTACAAGGATCTTAAATTTTAGGATTAAAAATCACATGAAAAAAAAAAACTCCTTTCTGATATCTTAAGTGAAATCATGCACGCCTACACAGGCACTATTATTTGTTTCAAATTCTTCACTAATTTCAGAAAATGTTCAATTCTGAAGTGACCCTTCAAGAGGAAACAGGAGGAAACAAGCATATTCTTCTTCTTTTTTTTCCTTCTTTAGCATTTTTTGCAAGTTGGAAATTCCAGATTAACAGAAAAAAAAAGTCCCTACTTTAGCCAATTGATACTCAAAAAATCACAAATTTCATAAGAATCCCCAGTGCCCCCACAGGTCATAACAAGAGAGGAAGTTTTTGGCTCGGGAGACTTACTGGTAGCGGCGGAGGCGATGTTTCAAGACTCAACTGCTGTCCAAAAGCAGCTTCAGAAGCAATAGGGCTAAGGTTTTTTTATGTCAGAGTAGGTTTGCCGGGTTTTTCCACTGCCTTTGCACCGAGAATCTGTACTACATGTGCATCAAACAATTAGAAAAACAACCCAAAAAACACAAGAAAATTTATATTCAACTTCAAAAAAAAACCCCAAAAAAAATTTTAAAAACAACCCACAAAAATTTCAAAAAACAAGTCAAAAAATTCAAAAAAACAACCCAAAAAACACATTATACCCAACTTCAGTTTCCAATCTTCGGTAACTGCTACTAAATGATACCCAAATTTATTTGAGCACCGGTAGCATCAAACTAAATGATAAAAGTAATACCGGAAGAGAGAAGCCAAAGCTATTCAACTCCAAAAAAAAAAAAAACCTATAATAGAAAGTTAGAAATAAACTGGAAGGCAGTGGAAATTTTCCTTCTGATCAATTCGCCAGACCCAAAAAAACCCAACAACCTTAGACAAAACTAAATTCCCCGAATTGCTGGAAATTCACGACAAACCTGTTTAATTAGAAGTTGTTGCTATTTCATCTGCTGTCATGTGAGCTTTGTTCTTGATTTGAGCCCTTTTTTTTCGCCTCTTTTGCTCTTATATGAATTTGATGTGAAGCGTAAAGTGATTTTTGGAGGGAGGTGGAGGAATTGGGCGACAGGGGGTTTTCATGGGGGTTTGCGATGGTAGAGGGGGCAAATACTTGTGTACGTCTGGTCTACTCTTCATCTGCAGACCGAACGGTGAACACACGCCACGTCATCAATGAGAATCAAAAGTCTTCAGACGCTAGAATTTTGTTCCTGCACCTCAGTTAAGCATGATTCTCTATTCCCCACTCCCCTTAACCTTTGGCTTTGCCAGATTTCGATCTCTTAGTAGGCAATTCTTCTCCTCCTTTATTTTTTTATACGCACATTTAGTTTAATTGATTGATTTTGGCAAATTGTTATCAGAATTCAACCATGCCAGTAGCACATGCTGGATGCTGATGGCCAACTAAATTTCAAAAGAGTAAAGATTAATTATTGTACTTTCGATCAATTAGTGCCTTTTAATTACATATAATGCCTACCAATGTACTGATATCTCAAACATTTGATATTAAGGTTCCGTTTGATAAAAATGAATTTGAATTCTGAAGTCTGAATTCTGAATTCTGAAATCTGAAATATGAAATCGGAAATCTGAATACTGAAACAATTAATTTGCTGAATTTTAAGCACTAAAAAGAAATATATGAATATCTAAATTTTAATGCTAAATCTTTTTATACTGTTTGATAAACATTTATAACTGAATGCTTAATAAGTTAAATTTGATAATTTTGCCCTTATATCTTTTCATCCAAAAAAAAAATAGAACATATGATTTAATTAACTAAAAATATTAGGTATGAAAATGACAATTTTTATTTTTAAATCAAATTATATAAAAGATGAATTATATTATATGAGAAGTATGGAGAAGAAGTGAAAGTTATTCAAAAGGGAGAAAAGAGAAAAAAAATCATTAGATAGAGAATATTAGGTTGTTTAATTATATAAGAATTTTGAACATAATTAATAAGTAAGGGTAAATTTGGTAGATAAGATAAGGTAGTTGAAGTAATTCTATTGATTCTTATCAGAATTAAGCATTTTGTTAGGATTCTTGTGTTGAAAAAAATACACACAAGTTCAACACTACTTAACAAGTTCAGCAAATGGATTTTAATTTATCAAACACTTGAAATATCTGAATATCTGAAAAAGTTCAGATTCAGCACTTTTTATGTTATCAAACAGATCGTAAAACTACAAAATTCTTTAAAAATAATAATATTGTATCCGATTGCATTTAAAGAGTGAGATAGAAAACCTAACAAAAAAAATAAAAAACCTGCATAGGATATTTTGGTCAAAAAAAAGAGTGCAAATTGAGGGTTAAATTGAAGTGGAAAGCAGACAATGACGAAGCCAGAATTTTTTTTCTAGAGGGGCCAAAATTTTCTTAATTATTATTTTCAAAATAATTTCCATCCATTTAAATACATGACATCTAAAAAAATTAAATAGTAATTTTAATTAGAAATATATATATATATATATACACACACACATAAACTCTAGAGGGACAGACAGTAACGGAGCCAGAATTTTTTTCTAGAGTGGCCAAAATTTTCTTAATATATTATGTTCAAAATAATTTTCATTCATTTAAATATATGACATGTAAACAAATCAAATATTAACTTTAATTAGAAATATATATACAAACTCTTATAATATAAATTAAAATTATAAAAAAAAAATTAGAAGAAGTAAAAGGCCCCTATCAGCCCCTTAGCTCCATCATTAAAGGCAGAGATCCAATGGCTGGAGTATTGAGGGTTGAATTGAACGCAAAGAAGAATCCTCCGATCCTTGGCTGAATTCTGAGGGCTCAGTGGAAAATTTGGGTAAAATACACGGAATCCCCTTATATTTTCACAAAAAGACACTTTACCCCCTATCGTTTAGAAACCTACACATAAATACCCTAAACTTCATAACTAAAGTGAAAATTGACCTATAACCGACTGAGTTACCGGTAACCTGATCGATTCAGAGTTAGAAGAGGCGGAGAAAGGCCAAAAACGAAAGAGATGGAGGGTGGTTCCAATAGTAATCCAAGTTCGGCAGCGTGGTCAGCACCTCAGCTTCCCACTAACCAAAAAATCAGACGCATGAGCTTTTATCCGGCAATGGGGGAATGGTTGCCTATGTTCTGTTTCCCGTGCGCTACAAGCTTTTATCCGGGGGATTACCCTTTTTAGATCTTGAAAGAGGGGGACATAAAGCCTTTACCTCTTGACAGAAAATCTGAAAGTACAGACACAAAGCCTATCTAGACGGAATAACCGTTTAGTAAGAGCAGGGAGCTCAGAAAAAGAACTGTAAACATTTAACTGTCGCTTATGAGCACCAATAGCAGCAAGTGAATCCGCAACCCCATTAGCTTCACGAAGACACGCAAGAAGGCAGATTCCTCTTAATTTCTCTAAATACAGGCCTTAATCCCATCGGCACAGGAAAACTTCCATTCAACATTCCCACTAGCATCATCGAATCAGCTTCAAAAACTAAGTCAGTGAAAAAACCAAACTACCGGCATAAGCAAAGCCCAAGTAAAAATGCCATAGCTTCAGCAACCAATGAATCCACAGCATTAAAGTGATCAGAAAATGCGAACACCAAATTGCCAAACTCATCTCTAATTACACCGTAGTATGGATTGCATCGCATACGATGGAATAGCAGAGATAACTGATTTGATGAATGTAGTTCTTCCTGCAAAAGACAGGCACTTGCTTTTCCACCCAGCAAGTCTCTTATTCACCTTCTCAACAAATTCTGGATAAGTACGACTTGTAACTTTGGAGTGAATTAAAGGCATGCCAAGATACTTGCCAAGATTTTGCGTACGGCTAACTCCCATATTATCACTAATTGTCTGGGTCAGATCGTTTGGAGTATTAGGGGAGCAGAAGAGCTTCGACTTTTCCAGATTGACCTTCTGACCAGACATCTCACAAAATTCCTGGAGAATATTTTTAAGTACCACTGCTTGATCTATACTAGCTTCAACAAAGAGTACAAGATCGTCTGCAAAGAAAAGATGAGAGATTTTCAGTCCTGATCTCAAGGCCTTGACCGGCCTCCATTTACCTTTCTTAATTGTCTCGCTAATCAAATGCCCCAATCTTTCCATAGACATGGCCTGAATGCAATTCATAATTAAAGTGATGAGGCCATGGGGAAACTTGCCATTTCTAAAGTCTGCCTCAGGAAACCCTAGCTGTTTCACCAACAATTTAGTATACAAATCCCTTGTTTTAGGGTTTTTTTTCTTATACTGGATGAACAAGAGAGAGGCTGTTCTTGATTCTCTCTCCCTCTCTATTATAAATGAGGGTATTTTGGGTATTCGACCTACAGCCGGTTAAGAAGTCAATTTCCACTTTAGTTATGAAGTTTAAGGTGTTTATGTGTAGGTTTCTAAACGATAGGGGGATAAAGTGTCTTTTCGCGAAACTATAAGGGAGTCCCATGTATTTTACCCGAAAAATTTTGACGGCTTTGCGTGGGAGAATTTCTTGTCTGACGTGGCAAGTTCTACGTTGCTTGGTCTTGGAGTGGGGCCATATACCAGGCCTACATAAGCTATTTATTTATTTATTTATTTACTTTTTATGTAAATCTTTCCTAATAATTATTGAACTTATGACTTGTCCAAAAATTAAATTTTAAATTTAAATTTTATATAATTATCGATTAATCAAGATGATGGTGTATACAGTGTAAAAAAAAGATTAATCCTTACTTTTTACCCCGTTCAAAAACCTCTGTCCCATTTTTCCTCGTATTTCTCAGGTTTCCCTTTCCCTCACAATAGGAGTAGATATAACCGCCGCCGCCGCCGCCGCCTCCTCCTCCTCTATCCCGGGAAGTCTACCCAGCCAAAAAAAGTCCAAATTTCTTCTGAGGTACTAAGTTTCTGATGAAATTTGTGAATGTTACTTGTAATTGGTTAAAGTTGTGGTTTTTTTGGGTTAAAGCTAGGAATTTTTTTTTGGGTTCTGTTCAATTTTTGTCGAATTTTCAACTTGAAAATAGGAAAGATAGAAAATGGAAGAAATGAAGCTTAACTCCTCCTGCGTTGTTCCCTTTTTTAGGCCATGTCAGAGTTGAACGAGTTCAAAAGGTATTGAATTTAACTGCTGATGATGAAAACAAATTAAGGTACCTGGTAAAGATAGTGTAAAAATTCTTTTTCCTTTTTAATTTGTGTGATTTTAGTTGGCAATTTTATGTCCATAAGTTGTTAAAGTAAAAGATTCATGACCCTGTCTTCAAGAGAATAGAAGCCAAACATCAAAAACAGCTTAGTATATGCTTATTTAGTTGAAAGTCCTCATGAAAAATAACTTAAAATGGGATATTGCAGTTGAATGAATTTTTATGTGGTTGTAATGAATAGAAGAGAAGTCAGGTGAAGTCGTCCCCGACTGGATATGGGAAATTGCTCTATCCTTTTGTCATTATAGTTAACATCTAGAGATATCCCTATTTGAGTCGCCAAGTTTATTGCAGTAAAAGTTGCATTAAACCTTCTACCAGCAAGCAGTTTGGATATCTCAGTGACTTAAAGATAAAAAAGATTCAGTAACTTATAATATTAGGCCATTTGGAAGATTTTGCTTTATATTTCTTGGGAATTGTAATTTGCTTATGGTAATTTAGAAGCTTTCAGTTTTTTTTTTCTTTTTTTTGTTCCTCTGTATTTTGCAATGAAATTGGGGACATTCTATGTTGTCTTCCTGTAATTAATAAGTGAGCGACGGCAAAAGCCCAAAAATTGTACGGTAATGTGAGTTGCAGATGAAGAAGGCTAGCCCGAAACAAAGAGGATGCCGATATAGTATAAACATGAGCCTACAATCTGTGACTTTCAGCTAAAACCTTGGCTACAACCTAAAACTTAAGCATGTATGCAAGCTGTCCTATGAAGATGGAGTTTTTGTACCTGCATTATGGGTTATCCTGTGATGATGGTGGTTGTTTACTTATTTATTTGTTGCCCAGATTGATGGCATTTACATATTGTCAATATTGTTGATATTTCTAGTAATCATAATGAGGTCATATTTAAGCTATATCCTTGAGTCCCAGCC